CATTCAATTATGCAAATTTTTTCGAGTAGTGAAAAGAGCGATAATCGTAATGTTTTCCATCGTATAATATCAGCCATATCAACCACATTTACGTCTAATAACCACAGTGTAAGAATAGCTAAAATCTTTGATAAAAAAGAGAAAACCGCGAAAGTTTTCAATACTTCCAAATTAGCCGTTTGCAATATCAGGAAATGAAAATATCTTTTTGCCAACCATTGATAATTTGCGTCCTATTTTGTTTTGTTTTGTTTTTTTTTTTTTCTGTTAAGTAATTATTTTTTGTTGGATTTTTTTTCACAAGATTTCTAATTGAATATTTTTATCACCCTCTCTATAAATTCTAGTTATTTTCTGCACAAAAAAAAAGTACATATCAATATTTCGCTTCAACGCCAAAATAAAATTTTGACAAAGCTGCTTCATGTGCGAAGTCGCTTACTGAAGTGTCTGTTTGCGCAACGTATTTGAATATTCCATTGAATCGAAATCTGATACGAATTCACTTTGTTCAACGTAAGCTTGCATAGATAAGATTTTTTTTTTCGTCGGAAAATAATTTTTTTTGACCAGATACACCTTGTAAAGGCTGATTGAAAAATTTAAAGCCTAATACTCGTAGCTCGTAGATATTACTTGCTCTTGTATTGAAGACTTATTTTCTCCTCTTGAAATAAAGGCTTGTTTTGATCATGACCAGTAGGTTTTTGCAGGAAAATCGTGTATACAAGTAAACTTCCCGCAGCTCTTTTTCGCTTTTTTTAGGCGTTGAATTTCTAAGATTTATTGAGCTATTCACAGCAGGATGATCTTATGTAGACCCCCATTTTGGTTGGCATTTACTATTTTTATACATCATACTTTCAACACAAAATAATTTGTTAAAATAAGTACAGCTGCCTATTTAAGGATATCTTCCTCCAATTGAAAACAGATAGACAAGTCGAAGCAATCAAGGAGGAATTTGTTCTCAAGATCGGTTTGAGCTAACTGAGTAACCCCCTCTGATAACAATATTACGCAAACAAAAAACAAATTGGCTATATGATAATTTATTCATAACGGCCTTTTAAGACGAACATGATAACACAATACGAGCGGCTTCAATCTGCTACTGACTGCCAATAAGATTAACCTCTACATCGAACTAGAAAATTGACAGAGAGCAATTCAAACTCGGCTAATATGTCGCATATCGCCGCAATAAACGGAAGCGATTACTTCGCAACTTTTCAAAGGATTTTAGAAACGCGTTCAACTGGTCTGGCTGCTGTAGAAGCCGGGTTCTTTGTGACGATCAATTTTACGGCGCTGTTCGGTAACTTCCTCCTTTGCACAGTTCTGCTAAAGGATTCATCTTTTCGCAGCATTACAAACATATTGATATTAACTCTTTGCGTGGCTGATATTCTAATGGGAGCAGTGTGTATGCCTCTCTCGTGCGGTGTCCTTATACAAGGAAAATGGATCTATGGTGATATTGCATGTCGACTTCAATGCTTTTTCATCTACTTCTTAGCTTTCGTTTCCCTTCAGACCATCGTGTTAACATCACTTAACAGATTTTTCAAAGTCGTTAGGCCACGAAGATACCGGCGCATTTTCACAATGAAAAAGACAGTGGCCACATTGATTATACTTTGGCTGATAACCGCACTTATACTGGCTATTCCTTTGGCCACTGGAGCCTTTAGTGCTACGTTTAACCCGGCAAAAGCTGCTTGTGTGATTTTTAAAAGAGGCATTGAGGTGGAGCAGAATAGCTATCCAGGTATTTTAAGAGGGCTGCTACTGCTATTCTTCGCGGTTATTCCTTCAATTGTTATATTTACTTGTTATTATAAGATATTTCGGGTTGTTGGGGAGCATTTTACGCGAGTCGCGCCAAATCTTCAGAGGATAAACAGAAGAAGAAGCTCTCGATTAAATTCGCAGGAAATGCGGACTACAATTACATTGTTTGCCGTGGTCGTTATGTTCTTCCTAAGCTGGCTTCCCGTATTTTTAATCGAGATTACCCAAGCGTTTTTCATCAATTGGTGGAGAATTCCCCGTGAAGTTCAACTCATGTGGACATTTTTTGGCAGTTTCAGCAGTGCTGCGAACCCACTAGTATATGGCTTTGCAAATTCATCTTATCGACGCGAATACAAAAAGTTGTTAACCTTTAAATGGAAAAAAAAATCCAAAGGAAGAAGGGACATTGAAGTAAGCAAAAGTCAATCAGTTGCGATGGCAACTTTAAATCTCCCGTCATGAATTCTTGTTCTTTTATTCGTGAAGGGGGTATTTAGAATCAGTTTGAAAAATGAGCACATGCTAATGTATCACTGTATACAGAGACATTATCAACAAACCTAAATGTAAACATTCAATAAAAACAGCTACTTAGAAGTCAGATTTTAATTAATTTTTTAAATGATTAACTATTACTTAATTTACAACTAAAGAAGAACATATTTCTATAGCTATAACTTGTATTTTTTTTAATATTGCAATGGACATATGTTGTTACAATTTGGATGAAATTCAGTGTCAAATCGCCGGGTTCTCGTTTTCTTTTGGGTGGAAAAACCACTCGTATTTGGGGTAGAAATAAAGAAGCTAAAGATTAACAAACAAAGAAATTTGTATATATATATATATTTTTTTTTTTTTTTTTACTTCTCACAAGCAAAAACTAACATATAAGTAGCCGTATGACTTTCATGTTATTCTCCTTCCTAATCTCTCGACAATTTATTTGAAATAAAATGAAGAGACTTTTCCCTACTCTCAGTAAGATTATACCCTCTAGCCGATTGTTGGTCAATTTTCATCTCCTGATGGCAAAATAACGTGTTAGAATTGTAGAGAGATCTTACTTGTTAATTGCCTCTGCCAGGAGTGAGCGCTTCCGAGAGATTAATCAGGCCAACCGCTGAAATAAAAATTTTGATATAGTCCTGACATGTAATACTCTTTGCCTAAATTGACATGGCTTTTTAGTCTGTTCAAAAATACACCTGAAACCCAAGTGTTACATTCAAGAACGTACTAAACAACCTCTGAGATTGTCAAAGCGAAGTCTGAGACGCAAAACGAATGGAGGGGGCTAAGAGTAGGAGTCATTAATAGTCACCTTAGAAAAATAATCGAATATATTTGACCATCGACATTTTAGGCTTGAGAAGGAACCGCATCCATACATCAAATTTAGAATCGATTGCCGAAGAGAGGTTCAACATTGAAAGTATTTCCTTAGAAGTGGAGAAAACAACCAGTGGATTAAAAAAAAAACACCTCTAAAACTCTTTTCTTAGGAGACTTTCAGACTCTAGAAGTTTTATTCGCTTGGCACTTGTGAAAACTTGTCATTAGGAAGTTGGATTATATGTTTGGGCTTTATGAACAGATTACACTGTCTTGGGACGTAGACAATAACATCTCAAGGCGATTGGTTCCTTTTTTGACAAAGCACTTGTTAACTGAAACAAAATAGGTTGATTATTAAGACCAGAAGTTGACTATGAAGTAAACATCCTGCGGTAACGAATCTTCCTTAGAAGCTCAGGCTGACATCCATGTGTTAAGGGTCTCATGGTAATTAGGTTTAAGATATGGCGATAATAAGTCGAGACTGTGTTCTGTCTGATTGAATTGTGGGTGATAGGAACAAAATTTTCTTTGGCGCGCCACACGTAAATAAGCATAACAATAAGCATAACAAAACGGCATGCCGCGAAGATCATTTTATTAACAGCCACGCTTTCACTTAATCAATTGGATACAAAAATGCAGTATGTCCAAGTTAATAAACTGAGTTTACAAAAAACATTAAACAAAAAAAGCTGATAACAAACAAATTATTACTCGGATGATTCAGGGAAAAAAAAATGAAAGCAAAAACTAAGAAAGTGTTTATATCAATATTTCACCTTAGGAACCAGAAATTCAGGGCCCAGTTGTTCGAAGGCCGATTAGCGCTAACCCGGGGTTAAGTTTTAACCTGGGTTTCTTTATTCCCCTCTTCAAAGGCCTATTTCACATAATTTCTTCAATTCCTTTTAGAACATTCAGGCATCAAATTGTAAGAAAAAAATTTAAACTGAATATTCTTTTAAAGCTTTCAGATATGACGTCAGATTTCACGCTAACCCAGGGTTATCTTAACCTAGCTCTGAACAACTTGGCCCATACGAGGGAAGTCTGAGGAATTTTGGGGATTACATAGTTATCCGAGGGGGAGCAGAGTGGGATCAGTTGTCGCCAACAGAGGATAAAGGAGGACTATAGAAATTTGACAGCCTATTAATTGCCAATAAGGAAGGATCGCAATAAAATTACAGAGCCTTATGACGGGATCAGGTATATTTTATCGTTACACAAACGAAAATTTTCTGATCGCTTTCCCGGGAAATGAGTTGTGACCTTCCCTAAGCTTTAAATAAGTGGGGAAAAACACCGTTAGTCTTTACAGAAGTAATCCAAATTGCTCCAAAATTTAATTACCGAATCGATAATATCACGAGATAACGTGAGTGCTCCAAAAGCATTTTTTTAGAATGCTGTATGCGTAAAAATAACATTGCTGTCACAACATCCATACCTAAACTATGAGCTCGTTTAAGTCTTAAAAGGCCAAATATGTCGCTTAACTTGCCAATATAAAATACATACAGAATTTAAATCGTATAAAGCTGCTCTACTTACTCTAGAAAAGATTATAAAAACCACAGTCCACTTAGTCGAGTACAGAAATTGCAAACTTACTTTGACCTAAATATTACGATATTTCTAAAATATGCTAAAGTGCCCTCACGTTGAATTTAACGTATCAGCGAGAGAATCTGATCTTTTAGGTTTTGCATTCTTCTTAAGATGATTAGCCTTAGGAAATAAGGCTAATCAAACCGTTGAACTACTTAAATGATTCACTTTTACCTTTAATGTGAAACTCTGATAGAACAACTTTAAAGTACGATTGGAGGTTTAATGAAACTTCTTTACGAGAAGATTCTTCAATTCACGTTTACTTTTTCTTCACCTTCACTTTCTTCCAGGTTCGGCTGCTCGTTCCCTTTGGAGAAATCTGGGAAAACCTTTTGCAACAGCATTTCATGAAGTCTTCGCATATGTGAATATCTAGACTCTGTTTGATTAACGTAATGCAAAGGCCCCAGATTTGTTGAAGATGGCGTTTGTTTAAAATGGCTGTCGTCATCACTAGTAGACAACCAATACAACAGCTGTTGAAGATCCTCATCTTTCCATGACGTACGACTTCTATTTGTCTCATGATTTGCTCTCACAGTCTTAACGAGGTTCTTTTGATTATTTTTCATTGCACCACCGATATCACTTTTCTTACCCCGAGTAACTTCTTCCTCGTTGGCCACCCCACTGGCATCGTATTTACCATCAAAATCGACCTCGCTTTGGTGTGCAGAGACAGAGACAGAGACACTCGAGATTCCGCGGGCAACAACAGGGAGATGTCCTGAGTAAGAGCTATCCTCGCCACTGTTTTCCCATCCGGATGTACCAGACTGATGGCTACTACTTGACTCAGATCCACTGAAAGTTTCTCCTGAGGACCAATCATTTTCTGTCGTCTGAGGGAAAACATATTTGGTAGATGTTGAAAAGAAATCCTCGCCGTCTTGTTTAATGGCTTGTTCATTCGCCATTGCTTTATTATTTTGGCTGAACGAATTTGTTCCACTATAAAAAGCACTTCCCGAATAAGTAGCTTCCTTGTCACCAGAAAAGGTTATTACCTTGTCAACATCCCTTTCTATGCCATATTCGGCTTCTCCTCCAAATTCACGACGTCCTCCGTTTTCAACAGTGTTCCCATTACTGGAGCCACTTAAAATAATGGGCGTGTTCCAATTGCTCCCAAATGAACTTGCTTTATTAGAACTTTTGATTCCGTCTGCCCGTTGCAGTTCGCTGTCAGCTATAACTTTCTCCGGATCATCTCCTGAGCTTTCACCATACGCATCAAACTCCGGTCTATCAAAGTCACCGCTACTCGGAATGGATTCCTCTAAGCCACTCGAGGAGCCAAAAGAAGATCCATCTGCCTCTAGTCCATTTGCACCGAAACCTGAGATTGAATCTATCCACACTTTGTTACCCGTACCTGACGTTAAAAAAGCACCGCCGTTTCTCGTATTTGCGGTGTACTTTACACTACTTTTATTCGAGTGTCCTTCATTTGATGTTGCGTTATTTGCAACCTTCCCACTGCCTCTCACTCTGTCATCATCTTGTCCGCTTCCTTCAATACTACTGTGCTTTGGGTATGCTTTAAATATTGTTAATGAATTTCGTATCGGTTTTCCTTTATCCGGGATTTTTCCAGTACAGTTGGTGGTCACATTTGGAAGGCGCATTGCTGAAAAGCCTTGAAGATCTTCGTCAGATTGAGGAGCGATACGGGTAGGTGGCACATTCAATGAATAGTTATGTTCATTTTCATTTATACTTGCAGATTCATGAGCACTACTTGAATTACATATATTGTTAATCAAATTTAGTTTGATATCCTGTTCTTCTCCATAGCTTCCTAAGGGAATTTTTTCTTTGAACGCAGCTTTTTTAATTAAAATCCTAGAATCATTTGATTTTCCGCTTTCTGAGAATCTTGTGGCCCCATGAGCAGATGTGTTCTCGTCCAAGTGATTAACATTCAACGTATTCCATTCGCGGGAATGTAATGTACCCTTCAAGTGACCGTCCCTTGAGTTACCTTCGGCATTTTGTTTAGCAAATTTTCTGAGTTTCCCATCTTTTTTCAGCTTATGACGTAAAATAGGCTTCCTTGCATAGTGTCGATGTTTCTCATGATACTTTGTCTTAGGCTGAGTTAAAATCCTCCTTATTTTAACTCGGTTAAATTTTTTTCCTCTCCATCTCTTTAATTTTTTTGACTTAGTCCTTTGAATGTGGCGATTTTCTTCACTTCCATGCGAATATTTATCAGGAGCATCACTATGGAGCCTCAATCTCGCACGAAGCTTCTCCTTTCGATGATTAACTATGAGATGCTTCAGTTCTTCTGTCATCGAGATATCTATTCTTGGTCTTTTGTGGTTATGTCTGTTTGATTTGAATGACAATTTTTGATGCTTTCGTTTCCCCCAAGTGTGAGAAAACGTAATGTGAGGTTTGTGCTTCTTCAGTGCGCCAAATCCATACTGAAATACGTTTATCCAGTGTTGTTTCTTTTTGTGGTGGAATCTTGTCTTTTGATGTTTTCGGTGGGCCTTGACAACTTTTTTGCTAATCTTCTGGATTGTTTTAACTTTCCTTGATTTCTTAAGTTTGTAGGCGCTCAAGCGATTTTCATGTGGTTTCGATGTATTTTTCTTCGTCTTTTTTCGTGCCTTATCCTTTCGCCTTTGCTTTAGTCGTTCAGTTTTGCTCTCTTTCGGCTTAACTTTGTGTTTGGACTTTCCTTCGCCCTTTTTACGCAGTTTTGTTTGATTATTATCAAGGTTCGCTTTGTATTTATTTTCCTTCCCCTCTGTTTCCTTAGACATCAAGTTTTTCGCCTTTGCTTTCTGGGCCGTGCCTTCACTGCCTACAGGACGTAAACCCGATTCAGACTTTGATTCCACATTGATCCTCGCTCCTTCCTTAGTTAGTTTTCCCGAAATAGGATGCGCAAAGGGGAAAATACATCTGCACGATCTGAAGTTACAACTAGTGGAGCAATGGGATCCCCTGGGGCAACAATGCCAACTATCTGGGCAACGTGCTGCATCAGGCGCCATACAACATCCGTAACCAGTCAAGGAGAGTAGGTCCTCACAACACGTGGTCCGTGCCGGGCATCTGGTCACCATATCCGGGCAAAACGAAGTATCATCATGCAGATAAGCACTTGCTAGCCCTGAAATGAAACTCTTCTTGTCAGCAAAGAATAACTAAACGAGATGATAACTGGAAGCCTAATTAGTTTTTCAACACGGTCAGAATTTTTTTCCCTAGAAATATAACATCCCTCCGAACAATACACGTCTCTAACTTCTTACCTTCTCTCGTCGACAGTTCTGGGGCTTTGGGAGGAGACAGTTGGCCTAGGATATAATTTTGAGAATAACTATCTCGTAAATTCAACGCTGCATGCCTTAAAAAACGAAAAGGGAAATTCAAGAAACTGTTCATTCTTACAAACCTCGGGGTTTCGCTCTAGATAAAAGGCTCCGAAAAGCGGCACCAACTCTGACTCCAAGGATGTGACTTCCTTTGGGATTAAAGTGCTTCAAGCAAAAAATTAAGAAAGAAAATAAATTTCATTTTGATGACTTTTTTATCCATAAGAGGGTCTAAAACGCGGAGTAATTAACTGTGCCAAAGAACCACGTCAAAATAGACTATTACCTTGCCTTTACCCGTTTTTAGTTTAAACAATTATCATAGTGTTTGCAATACTTTGATGAAACAAAAACTAAGAGATATGAGTTTTTCATGCCCTTGTAAATCAAGATTGGTCGATATTGATAGTCGCAATCAATTTGCTTTTGATTTCAGTTCGTATAAATATAACTTTTTAATTGATTTTGTGATTCATAAAATTGATAATAACTATCTCGTAAACTCAACACTGCATGCCTTAAAAAAAAGGAATGGGAATTTCTAGAAACCGCTGCCCGCTTATTAGCAGTCCTTTGAAATTTCTTACTGACTGGTTGAAACAAAAAAGGGTACTTTGGCGAGTGATCATGAAAAATTCATTACCACGTCTCGAGGTTGTTTCATGATACTGCAAGTATCATAAGGTGGCTCTCCACAAACTTTGATGACAGCAGCATGAAGATCTATAATATCCACTCTGGGGCCCTCCTCCATTATTCTACAAACACAGAAAGAGTCAAGTCATGTGATTTAAACTATGCAATGAGACTATTGCTACTTCTCTTAAATGAGGTTTTTGTTTCTAACTTCCGGTATTCATTTGTACTCCTACTTGGAGACAACCATTGTGAGGGTAAAGTGTGTTGTAAAATGACCTTGCTAGGTCTCTAATTATGACACACCGCTTTTTTCATATAATTTAATTATAAACAGAAGGTTCATTCAGAGATCAAAACTATGTAAATGCCTGTCAGACTAACTGGCTGATAGAACTGATTTATGACATTTTACAATTTTATACAGTAACTGATAATTCAAATTGTAATTCAACAGTGTTTCGATTAAATATATTGAAGTTCAAATGAGGCCAAGAAATAAGAATAACAAACAAACTGAGCTTAGAATCTAAGCACTGGGAGCGCGGATCATTCTGATTGGCTCTTTGTCGAACGGGGACAAACCAACTACGTGCGAAGTAATAGCGATAATCTGTACATCTGTCCTCGTTAAACAAAGGCATATCAAAGATTAAAAATTTACCTTACAGCTTCTTTGTTGTACGCAATGACTCTTTTGTTCCTCCGTCCAGCGATTGGAACAGGCGTTGTGAGAGCAAAGGCTACCTGAGCTCCTCTTTGAAGGATAATATTTTTAATTTTCCTGAGGTTTTGGCCATACTCTTCTAGTGGGACGAATTCCTAAAGAAAAGTAAAATTTGGGTGGAGTGAGCAATGTTTAGTCTGAATCTCTCATATCAACAAACCTCCAATAAATTGTTGGAACTCAACTTCATCAAAGAAAAAAATATTTGTAATATAAAACGAAAACTGCACAGAAAGAGCTGAATAAAATAATACCTACATACCTCTGGAAACAACTTGCTATAATCGATGTCGTGCATTCCAAAATTGAAAACAACTGCATCGTAATGGGTTGGTTCCAGCGACGTGGTACTAAGCATCATGGACAGGCACTGTAAGCCGTATCTGGAGTCAACAGCCCCAGACCCCTTAGCAAACGGCGCGTGCTGAACTTGACATAAACCTTTGAGTTGACCTTTTACCGTTGTGAGATATCTAAAATGAGAGAAATCCAGAGGGTACTGTAAAAAATTAAAATAAAGAAATTGAAAGAGGGGCATGTAAGGACACTATATAAAGATGCTACTGGACTATCTGCATCATTCATTTTAAATTCTTAATGAATGTATGACTGCAATAGACTTCTATTAGCCTTAAAAAAAATGATTGAGTAAAGTTTGTTCAAGCCCCACCATCGCCTCCAATTGGTGAGTAATTGGAGGCGATAGCTGTCATGAAATTATAAAACTTTTGTGAGCTGTTGAATATATCATATTTCATATCTACCCGAGAGAAATTGAGTCCCCAATGATGAGACAGTTCCTGAACAATGGATTGACACCCAAAGGTGGGCCGGGGCTACATACCCTCAATGCATCACGCACTTCCATACCTACGGATGGCCTGATGAGTTGAAAAAACAACAACAACAATTAAGATACATAAAGATCTTCACAACTTCTGATAGAGGACCAGTGGGTGAACGGGGAAAACAAACTGTATTTGAGGGTGGGGAGCTACAAGCTACATAGGTTGCTAGTAAAAATACTTAATAGTATTTTTATCGCACATGGGATTAAACTTGCACACTCTATCAAAAAGCTTTATTTTCTTCTAATCTCTAATCGAAACCTTGTGAGATTAAAACTCGTTTGTTCAGTCAGAAAAATGATAGTACTCCACTGTGGAGGGCAACCAATGGCTTCCAATCGTTAAAATTTGTCGGTCACTAAGAAGAAATCTCAGTATGTATGAAATAGGATATCATACCGTGGAAATGCGATGCGGCAAAAAAACAAAAAAAATTCACTTGTTCGCTGCGCTCACTCGTTTTTTTTTTGCTTTGTTTTTGTTTTTATTTTCTGATGCATCACAGCTCGAGAGTGAAAATCACACTTTCCATGGAATAATCTTTATCTATCCTACTTCTTAGAGCGTGGATCGGGGAGCTAGATCAAAGTCATCAAATAGGTCTCTATCTCTCTTAGTTAATGAATGACAAAAATAATTACAATAACAATTTAAAATTTCTTGCTTATGTCTATACCACACAAGAAAAATCCAGTTTTCTTTTTTGTGTGCGTGTAAGGGTTTGATGTGGAATTTATTGCACTTGACCGTCTTAAAGGACTGCTTCTTTTTCATTATGAAGGAAAACTTACCCAAAGCGCTCAAGTGGTTATAGAAAGGGAATATAATAATAGTGACAATAGTGCCAAGTAGTCGTGTAGGTGAGCCGGAAAGGACTGTTCTTGGTGCCTTTTGATCTTTTTGGATGAATGAATTAGGGAACAATTTTACTTACGTAGAATCCTTATAAGAATTAATTCGAGGAGCCACTGATTGTGTCTGGGTTGTTGAGAGCGATATCCTTGGCTGGGGTACTACTTTAGGTGCCCCAATCGGATTGGTAACTAAGGGGGGTACCCGATATGGGCCTAATTGTTGTGCTTGAAGAGGAGGCTGGGTAGGTACTTGCTGAGGTAACTGTGGTGCGACTACTTGGGAAGGTGCTTGAGTTGTTGTTTGGGGCCAAGAATTGTAATCAGGGGGCCATGTTGGGGTATCCTCCACAGGAAATCCATCCCAGTCATAATCTGAGCCGTCATAAATGTCTTGTCGCTGTAACAAGATTTAAACTTGGATCTCAAAAAATTGGTATTGGGAAGAGATATGACAAAAAGCTATATAAAGATTTTCCTTTATTTACCACTCTTTTTTCCTTTTGTTTTTGTTTGTTTGTTTGTTTGTTTGTTTTTGATTGGTTTGTTTGCTTTGTTTTGTGTTTAGTGTCCTTTGTATTTACTTATCCTAACCTGGCCAAATTACAGTTCCAAGGACACAACATTTCCAAACGATGAACGCGTAAATTCTGATCGAAGCCGAGTGATTGAAACTAAACTTATACAGAGCCTCTCTAAACAGGATTATCAACGAGTATCAAGAAATCTTCAAGGCAAACCTGACTGAATATTCCATGTGATTTTTCAAAGACGGAAAAGTATTCCACCCGGATACTTTAGCCAGGTTTAAACTACAGAAATCATAGTATGTTTCGGTAGTTATGAGAGTCAGAGTTACCTTGGCGACCCCAGAAACGCTGTTAAAATTATGTTAAAACGTGAGTCCTTTACAATCAATCTGAGCGAAACTCCATGATAAGTTGATGCAATGGTTTTTCCGGTTCAATATCAGTGTATGAGCGACTGCGCACCTACCCCTCCCATAACTCAATATTGACTCTAACGCATTATTAGTTGACTGGTGCTAGTTTAGATGAGGGTTAGGTGTGCAGTTTCTTAACACTGCTTGACAGTAAGCCGTTTTCCTTGCCACCCCTGTACAAAATTCGCGGCAAGGACCACTCGACCAATCAAAGGAAATCGCAGGTACTACCTGCTTTCTGCTTGAGCGGGTAAATATAAATTAATTTCATAACGATTGCTGAGTTTCAATCGTTATACGAAGCTTTTTTCGCCGTGGTCTTTTGAACCTACCTGGATTGAGTACCATATAACTTTAGAATTGAAGTCAGATTTCAATCTATGAAAATAACACACAACCTTAGCTTGGGAGGTCTAATTTTTAATCATTGCCCTTCAACTTTTTCGTCACGCAAATGATATCCAAGCTACCTCCCTGCTCTCAGAGAATTGGGGAAAGGAACAGGAATGATCAGGTTATGGCCTAATTACAACATTTTTCCAGAAAAAAAAACCGGTCAAGTAGGAACCTGAAAAGCGAGGAATACACTATGGGCATCCTTTGATATCCACCTGACGTCTTGAACTTACATAAATTTTGCAGCATTCTTCTCATATACTGGGAACAAATCTCAAAGAAAAAATCAATAGTACTAATTTTTCCCCTATAAAAAGCACGTGAAGAGATTTGCTTGCTTCGTTAAACTTTTTCGACGATTCCGTACAAAACTAAAGAAATACTTGCAACTAAGGTAAAATCGCCCGATAATAGATTCAAAATACGCAAGCAACGATAAACAACGAAGTTAGTAAGTTTCATCTTATCTTTTTTTCTTTTCTGTTAACCAAACACCCTCATCCTCCACCCCTGCAAAACATACATCGAGCCTGGCTAATGTAAAAACAAAAGCCTCATCAATCCAGTTCTCTGCGTTTGCAAAAATATTCGAGCTACCCGCCAAGAGTTCGCTGACTCGTGGAATTAGTCTCTCTCAGAAAATAATTTATTCTCTTTGCAAGGTTATAAGTTCTAGCATGAAAGCACACATTTCCGTTTTGTGTTTTGTGTTTTGGTTTCTGTTTTGACAAATACAGACAGGCCTACTCCAAACGCTATTCCTAAAACAATAAACTGCTCTCGAAAACTATTGCATTTTGGTACAATTACAAAATAAAGCTGAACACCTCACATCTCCCAATTCTTACCCGCCTTGTCTTGCTCCACTTGTTTGACCTTATGTAGGAAAATGCCATCGAATTCACCTTTGGATTCCACGAACTATTCCTCCGAAGATATCGGGAGTATAATGCATTCCTCCCAGAATTTCGTGCAGGAAAATAGTTTCGCCACTGGCCTCTGTATGCCGTCCTATCTTGTGTAAAAGCGCATGTGGATGAAAACCATAACAAACCAACCAGGCGTAAAACAGAAGACCCGCCGAGCATTTCTAGTCATTTTCCGATCGAATATCTCCTGCTTTTCCCAATCAGTCTATCTGCCCATCTTCTCCGTCATCTCTCATTTCGTTGGAAAAACATCCAGACCAGGGCTCAAAATCAAAGGTTCCCGGCGAGAAAACAATCACAGCATTGTACCATAATAGAATCGAACGCTTATTCAATAGGTGGCAATCACCGTTTACAATGAAATGACGTGATGCCTGATTCTGACGAAATATCGATTTAAGGTGATTCTTGAAAGCGAAGCAAATTCTTTGATTTGTGAAAATGCAAAGCACGCCTTAAAGAAGCATGACCTATAATGGATGGTTTGTAATTTAACACTGCAAACACGCAAATGAGTGCATAGTTAGTGAGTTGCTATGTCGTGCATAAAATAACTTCAAGAATCGTGTGAATTTTAGTTAACTAGCTTGAACTAAACCTAATCTGGAAAGCGTTCGGTGTGCAAGATAGCACCAAATTAATTGAACCATCGAAGGCACTCTTCGTGTTTTCGAAGATGAAAGTCAAAGCTAGTTTGACTAAATGTCTCTAGAAAAACAACCAAGTTAAGAGGGCGAAAAATTATGTCATTTGACCCTGTTGGTAATTGACAGGTACAAGATCAAATGTTTTTCTCACAGAGAATTCATGTCCATGATGAAATCTTCTAGAATCCTTATATTGTGCAAAAAAATCGGAAAAAATAATTTCTCAGAACTTGTAAAAAAATATTAACCGACACTATTGAAAACAAGAACGAAAGAATATACAAATATATTGCAGGTCCTTAATGAGCATTTAAGCACTATGTGCACGAACAATAAATTCCATGCCATCTTATGATAGAACCTAGTCAAGCATTTCTCTCAGACATTTTTTAACAATGACCCCGGGAAGGGCGGAAGCGTCTAAAATCTGACTTCAAGCATAATATCCCAGTATAAAATTTTGTTGTTATTTCTATGCATTGTTATCAACGATCTACCTATGATTTTCAAGAAGTAACAGGTACTGATCAGCAAAACTTCAACAGGCTCTTCTCAAGTAGTGTGTTTGTTTGGATTTAAACAGCGAATAATTAGCCTCTTCAAATAAAGCCGCTAACCGGTCTTACCAGGGAAGGGGAACAATCCTGTCATTGAATCGTAGACAATTTCCCAAATAACCATCGCGCGATCTACTGTTCCAACAAGAGGGCGCGAGTGTTTATGTAGATTTCTTCTGCATCGGGTTGCGATGAGAGTGGACTGTAGACTCCTTTGTCGAAAGATGAAAAGTTTTTAACTATTGATAACCTGATCTTAGAAAAAACGAGACTTCCGATGGGGACCAGTAAAAGTAACATGATTTTCAGAAAAAAAGAGATAAAC